CCTAAGGAAACAAAAGGCCAATTCACCATTAAGATTCTTTAAATTGGAAAATTCTGATTGTACAAAGAACAATTCCAAGTCCTAACTACACCTTAAACTCTTAGAAAGCTGAAAAACTGACAACGCTCCGATCCATGCAAAGTTAGTGCCTTAGTGATATGTCTTGTACAAATAGTTACGAGTTGCTGTGACAGCAAATTTACGCAAAACTAGAGATTCGAGTGATAATTAACGAAAAGTCTATGACATAGCATTAGCACTATAATCATTTTAGTGAAGGGTATATAATTGACATTCCAAAAAGCTTAAAGATCAGGTAGAGCTTAGATTGGAGAGTACATATTTGATCGCGGAAAAAAACTCTAAACTTCGAATTCCACCTCAGCATTCAACGTGTCTTCCTTGTCTAAGTAAGCCTTCCGAAGTTCAGCTAAAGACATAAACTGGTACCAACCCCAAACCCGTCTTTGTTCCGTCGATCGACGCTGCGGCACGCTACAAGAAATGTAAAATAAGAAAAACATAGTTAGCAAAGCAATATCGCAGTACATAACTATAGAACTGTATTAAACTTTTATTTCGTTAAGATAATAGAGATAATAATGTAACTGTGTTTTAGAAAAAAATACATTGGCGTTCAAAGTGACTGGATCCCAATGGATCTAAGACTCGCAAATGTTCCCTTTCCTAAAAATATCCTTATCTGCTTTTAGTGTTTCAATATCAGCTAAATGCAGAAAAACTGATATCCATTTTCCCTTTCCTAGCAATAACATCAACTCCAAACTCACAATGACCTCCCTCAAAGATATATCATTGAATTTTTTTAATGGAAGAAATTGCTGCCCCACAACGTTTTAAGGGCATTGAACTGCTTTACTTCTAGATCCGAATATGTAAAAGGTATTGCTTACTGAAATACATATGGGGAGAGGAAGCATACTCAGAAGTAGGTCACCTTGAATGGTGAGAAGTACTTGTTTTTATTTCTTGTTGTAGACAAAGAAAAGAAGATCGGCAAAAATATCTGTTGTCGAGCTTTTGCTGTCTACTTACACGTACATGGAAATAAATCCTCGTCCATCATCCTTTTCATTCCCTTTTGGGTATACGATCATTCTCCTATCATGTAGCTTATCATAATGCAACAAGTTGGCACAAGGTATGTTGGTTTTTTTTTTTGTTTAGGTCTGAAACGAGAGGAGGAGTTGTGATTGTATATCTAGTTGTTATTATCTTTATGTTTAAGCCCTTTCTAAAAAAAAAAATACGAGAAGGAGGATGCTCTCTCTCCAGTTCTTCACAATTATAGAACGGTAAAACCAATATATATATAGAAACTAGAGCATTTGGATAAAAAACAAGAGAATTCAAATGTTAACCAAAAAAGCGCAAGACATATAAAGCATTTTTGGTAGCAATACAGTAGTACTTAGACATTAGGAGCGAATTTGGTCGCAGAAACGACTTTAAATTCTATCTCAACGTTCAATGCATCTTCCTTGTCCAAGTAAGCCTTTCGAAGTTCAGCTAAAGACATAAGCTGGTACCAACCCCAACCAGAACCTTGTTCTTCGTACCAGTGGTTCACTACAAGTAAACAAATATCTCAGTACATATCTAGCAAGTAGCAAGAAAATACAGTAGAAATTAGAAGAAAAAATATATATATCCAGAGTTTCAGAAGATACGCTGGCGTTCGATGTGATTGGATCCAAGTGGGTCTATAACTCGCAAAATTGCTTGCACATAAATCTTCTCATCTGCCTTTAATGTATCACTAGCAGCTATTTCCAGATATACAGATAACCATTTGCCATCTGCTCTAGAGACACCCTTCGGATAAAGCATTAAATCCCTACATATCAGTAATTATAATGAAATTGTTTATATACAAATCATTAAGTAATTTGAGTGAATACTTTTTTTTTTTTTTTATATAACATCAAGTGAATACTTTATTATAAATTATAAATAAAACAGAGTTTTGCAATTGACAAAAAAACAGAGTTTTGCAATAGACTCACCACTCTCTTCCTCCCATTGAGAAACAGTCTGAGGTGTAAAACTTCTCTTTTAAGTCAGAAAAATTCTTTAAAGACCAAGAGAACTTGGGCTCCAAGAGTTTTTCATCAAAAGAGGGGATCTCCCAGTTGGTGAAGGGTGATGCAACAATGACATCAACACCAAACTCACAATGACCTCCCTCAAAGATATATCCATTTTTAGTGTCATTGAATGTATCCAATGGAAGAAATTGATGCAATCCCCACACAGTTCTAAGGGCATTGAACCGCTTTACTTCTAGATCTGAAAATGCATAAGGGATTGTTAACTAAAATACATGCGGAGAGGGGGAAAGAGAGAGGGCATAGACAGAATTGACCTTGAATAGTAAAGTACTTGTTTTCTTTCCTGTTGAAGACAAAAAAACGAAGTTCCGCAAAAACCTCTGTTGGTGGTGTGATCAAGCTTTTGCTATCTATTTCCACGTACATGGAAATAAATCCACTCCCATCATCCTTTCGGCTCCCTTTAGGGTATACGATCAGTCTCCTAATTTTTATAAGCAACAATACTGGAATTAGTTAGACAATAAGATACTTTCTTTCATTAAAAGAAAAACAACCTAAATTGATCATAATGATGAAAAGTGACGAATGCATAATGTGTCATGTGTGAATATATAACAACATATACCAATTATATCCACCCGAGGGGAAAGGACGAGATTGGTATCTATCATCAGAGCACGTCGTCGACTTCTTAAGTTGTGAGAAGTTGTGAAACTTGAGGGAATACGAAGAAGGAGGAAGCTCTCTCCAGTTCTTCACAATTGTAGATACTACTTCTGAGCCTGAAGCCATTCTAGCCAAACGACGTGAAAGCTTAGAAAATAAAGTAATGATCGATGTTAATATATATATATTAAAATTAAAGACGTTTCTTGGAAACTGTTAGCATGGCAAGGAAGGCGTAGCGGTCTCATAATGATATGTATTAGGAAACGAAGCGTCATGGCTAGTGACTCAAGGCGTTGACATTACTAGGCGTTCACATTAGTTGCTACTTAATTACTATTCACGTTAGAAGTGAAAATTTGAATGACGAATTATCCACATTAATCTAATACTACTAGATTTTGACCCGCACAACCGTGCGGGTAATTTAATACAAAAATATTTAAAATTATATAATATTTCTTTCGTTCCAAATTTGATGATGTTTTAAAAGATTTATTTTGTTTCAAAATATAAGATGTTTTGAGATTTTAAGATATAATTTGAAGTTTTAAGGTTATCTTTAATTTTATTGGAAATTGTTCAACCAATAAAATTTTACTGTCTTTTTTAATAATTGGTTGAATGAATTTAAAATTATATTTTTAAAAATAATTTTCTAAAAGAATGTAAATTTCTTAATCTTTGTGCAATGATGCAAAACATCATATATTAAGAAATGGAGGGAGTAAAAGTTATCAATAAATAAATATACATGTAATTTGATTATGTATACTATCCAGTTTTATAATAATATTTCTTTGTCTTATAATATTATTAATTTAAAATTTAGAAGTTTTTATTTTTGTAACAATTTTTAAAAACATTATTATTTAACATTACTAATTTATATTTTTGTATTTCTAAATATGAAATATATGTAAAAAGTAAATTAAGTTGGACCTACATAATACATAAACAAAATTTTGGGATATTGTTAAAAGTATTTTACATAATTTTAATTTTTTGTTTATAAATTTCAAAATGAATTAAAATTTTAATTATATTTTTGATAATTAAATTTTTATCAAATAATTTTTGAAACTATATCTTGAAAAGATTCTTACAAGATTTTGTTAGAATCTTCTTAAAATTGTTTATTTGTATTTCAAACAAAAATTAAAGATATGAAAAGATATTATAATAATGTTATGTAAAATTTTATAAAATTTCTAATAATGCTCCAAACTAAAAAATCACACATGAATTGAATAATGACTTCTCTTTTAATATAATAGATTTGAACGAAGACAACCTCATCTTTATGTTCGATTCTTATTTTTATTTCTAGTTCATCCTATCTACAAGAACACAAAAGAGAAGCTATGAAAGATAAAAATAATGTGATGCTTGAGAAATTTCGCTACAGATAAATTAGAAGAGGTGAATGTGATCTTAATCTTCTCTTTTCTTTTTAGTCCATGAACATCATTATCACATTCCTCATCAAAAGCCATCTTGATTTGTTTGCATTTACGTTCTACTAAAAATTGTACAAATGGGCCAAAAGGCTCTCATGGGCTTAACCGCAGGCTTTTCTCAAGTTAAAAGTGTTTCCGAAACGTCGTCGCTGTACTGTTAGGATGTATCAGATTATTTTGCAAAACAATTTACGAACCGGAAATTCATTGCACTGGAAAAACCGATTTCCTTTGGTTATTTTTTTACCGAAGCGTTGAAGTGACGCGCGCCCAGCGACCAGCGTTAACACAACGCTCGCGTCAAAGTGAAGCTGCTTTCGATTCTAACTGATACATCAACCAAGTATTTAACCTCCTGTCTGATTCAATTCCTACTACTTCAATTCTTTTCTCTTAAATACTTCCGATACAAATCAATCGGTACGCGAGCCTTCGTTCTTTTATTTTTCTGTGTGAGACATTCATTGTGTGTATTAATCTAGATTTTAAAGAGTTTAGACAGTGTTGTAGTTTTTTTAAGGTTGCTAAGTTCTGTTTTTTTAGATTGTAATGTTTCTGAAAAGTAGTTTTGTTTTTGTTTTTAAACTGTAGCGTGAAACAATATGTCTACTGAGTTGTGTCCGGAGAGGCCTTTGTTTGGGGGCGCAATCTCTAGCTCCTTCCCTCAGAGATTCCAGGTCTGTGTGACTGTGTCTCTCAATCATAATTTTTCAAGCTGTTAAATTTGTGTTCTGTCAGTAACGGTTTCATGATTGAATCAGGATGCGAGTAATATCCGTCAAGTTCCAGATCATCAGGTTTAACCAAGACCCCCTCTTTCTCTATCCAGTAAAAATTGTTATGATGATTGTATAGATGAAGAATCTGTAATTATATTTGGTTATCTGCAGGAAGTGTTTGTTGATCCTTCAAGGGATGAGAGTTTGATTTTTGAGCTTTTGGATTTCAAGTCTGACGTTGGGGACATGGGCAGTGCTTCTTGGTTCCTTCATGATCTTGCCCGTGAGCAAGATGCCGAAGGTTTCAAGGTAAGTTCTAGAAAGTTTCAACCTTTTTTGTGATTCTGGTTTTCAAGAACAAGAGTCTCTCTACTCAAGGCTCTCAAACATAAAACTGATCATGAGTAGGATAAAAGTTTGAGCCTTTTTAGTGATATAAGAGTAGTGAGGTTGTGTTTCACTAGGTAACAACTTAAGTAGCTTGGGCTATTTGGTTATTTTCAATTCAGTTTTTGGAACTAGCCTAACCCAAAAGATTAAGTATTCATGAAGTTTTTGTGTCCTGACTTTATGTTGCTTTGTGATTTCAGTTGATTGAGCAATCAAATGTCATTGATGTCCCTGGATTGTCTTATAGAAATATTCCTTCGGTTGCCACAACTGCTATTGGAGAGATGGTACTTGCCTTTTCTTTCCCTCCTGTGTTATCTCTTTGTTTTTTTGTTCTTTCTAACGACTATGATTTACAGGCTATATCCAAAGGAAGACAGGGAAGAGAAGCACAAAACCTATTGAGGGTAACTCAGTAGTTTCTCCTTGTTCTGTCCTTTTAAAGGTGGTCCTTTTTTATTCAACTAGTCTAATAATATGATGATCTCTTTCTGACAGGTTTATGTGGCGAATATTCGTCTTAAGGGAGTTGAAACAGATGTCTTAGTGACTGCATATGAACCTATCCTCATCAAGTAAGTCCCACCAACGTTAGCCTTGTTGTTGTTCGACATTGTCTTTGGTCTCTCATGTGTTTGCATGTTGTGCAGCCCTCTGAGTGAAAGTGCTAATGCAGTAGGATCTGGTTTAGCTGTACCAGCTTCACAATCTGGAATAATGCCAATGTGTGATGTCATTAAACAATCACTCTCTGCCTTCAAAGTCAATGACTGGAGTCTTTTTGGTTCCTCTGCTTGAGTCTAGGAATCATCAGCACAATGAAACACATCCAAGCTGTGAATTGGTGTTATGTCGGTTCCGATTAAATTTTTAATTTCAAGTGGTTTGAGTCTATCCAAGCTTGTGTTAGTGGATTGAGAGAGTGTTCTTATGTTTAAGCAATGTTTTTGTTCTTTGACGTCTTGAATTCAATATAATATGGATAATCCATCATCTATTTCCTTATTGTTTTAATTTTAAAAGTACTTTTTACATTTCTATACAGTTTGTGTTTATTAGATAATATATAACTGCTTAAATTTTACAGTTTGTATAATAAGTTGAACTATGTTTTTTTTTGAGCAACAGTTGAACTATGTTTAATTTATATATTAAATGATGTTTATGAAGAATATATTTTTTTGAAAATTATAAGCTGTTAACTAAAATAATTTAGGAGTATCATTTTTCACTATCAACGTTGAATTGGTTAAGCTCCTAGATTACTGAAAATGTGAAGATTTTCGAGGTTATATATGTTCGATTCATTTTGGAAAGAGCTAGCTCTCCAATAAGTTATATACTAAATGATTTGGATTTCTCCCTAAAAGGATTAAGAATGTACCGAGTTATTCAGAACCTCTCGGTCATTTAAAACTTAAAAGCATTATTTCTCATGAAGCTTAGCGGTCTCGATTGTTCTTAGGATTTTTGTGTCTTCTCTCTGTGATATGTTTCTATACAAAACGTGTAAGAGAAACCGAAACTTTGTTTGAACGCTCTCGAAAAACAAAAGGCAAATAATTGAGAGAAAGTCAAGAAGAGAAAGTAGGGTTCCTCTTGGAATCCAAGAAATTATTGGTATTTTTTATTTTATTTTTATGCTTTAGCTTCTCTTTTAAAAAACTGCTATTTGGTATTCCTATAATTACATAACTAGTGGCAAACAAAACTGAACTTTCCAACAAACCGTTTAGCTTTGTGTTTCTATTTCAATTAATAAAATAGCAATTTTAGGCTGGCCACGACAAATAACAAAAACTAGCAAAACTAAATGCATAAACTATAAATGAGTTACGCCATTGGGACCTAATAATGATTATATAATAAGCACGCAATCAGGTTATATTGAATACTAATTAATTTACAAATGTGGTCATCTACAGAAATTTTCCTCGTAACATTCCTACCAATTACACTCGATATTTGGAGGCAGATAGCCTTTAATAAAAAGAAAATAACTATAACTCAATTATACATGAGTCAGTTCCTCTTTCTTTCCTCTTCTAGATGGTAGGAGCGTAACCAATCATACATACTATTGTTAGGCTTGACCAGTCGGAAACGGATTTCTATCAAAGTATCAATACTATTAAAAGAGAAGGAGTCCTAAAAAATCTACTTATACAAATTGTTTGGACTCTTTCATTAGACTAACATTTTTTGGTCTTCCTTTATATTTATCTAACTATATAAATACTATTTCTCTAATTATATAAATACTTTATAATTTAAATGAACTCATTTATTACTTTCCATAATCTACTATATAATTACTCTAGCAATAAATCTCTATATACTTTAATATATTTAATATCTTTACACAAATTGGAAGTTAAAAAGCTTTGGTGTCTAATATTCAACTACAAAACTTTGATTTAGTTAATTACATGCAAATAATTATTAAAATTTGATATTGCATTTTTATACATGAACTGAATGATTAATTGTATATATAAAAATAAAATGGGTCTAAATGGGTTGGAGATTTTAATAGTATAGATGTTTATTTATTTTACAAATTCTAACAATGCATATGATATGTTTTATTTAATTTTAAATGTAAAATATCCTACAATTTAAATTTCAGATAGTTTGAATATCTTCAATATTTTGAATAGAAAATATTCGGGTAATTTATTTGTTTGCCTAATTTGGTTTATAAATAATATTTCTGGATATTCATTATTTAAATATTATATATAATTAATATTTGTAGGTATGTAATTTATATTTAAAAATTTTAAATACCCATTTGGTTCTCGGTGCGGTTTCTATTTTTTGGTTCCAGAAATATATGATATGATGGATTATTTATGAAATTTGGTTTAATTTTCATTTTTTTTCCAGTTTGTTACGGTTCGGTTTACCTGGAAAAATGTATAACATGTGCATTATCTTATATAAAAATTCATTTAGAAGAATTTATTTTATTTCAAAAATAAATCTGCGCTTAAAAAAACGCGGATCAAAATCTAGTCTTGCATTAAGTCCAATCAAAGTCCTCATAGGTTACTAGGTTACTGCTAGAAAGTATTTGTTTTTGTTTCAGTTTTTTAATTTAAATCAAGTGACGTCTTGTCGGAAATTTGGGGTCGAACCAATGAGGCAAGAAACGCCTCTAGTCTAGTCTACTGAAGTAAAAACAAAAAAGAATAGTAATATTCAATAATTACATCACATCAGGTGTGGCTTTTTCTTAATCTATCTAGGGTTGAAATGTAGTCCTATCGTTATTAGGCACGCAAGTAACAACGAATCAAAATACAGAACCTTAAACAGGCAAAAGCTGAACTTTCTCAAACCACCTAATGATTGATTTTCATAAAAAAAATTAGAGAATTGAGAATTTACATCTTGACTACAATATGTTACTGGGCTCTAGGCCCGTGCATGTCTCTAATGCAGTCTAAAAGTGAGCATGTAGAGCCGTAGAGGTGGACAACAACAAAACGTGAACATGTAGAGAGAGGGTAAGAGGAATGAGGATGATTGTTTTTTAAATGAATGAAACATAACCAAACTATATGTCATAGACATGATTCCTTCTCTTATCATTTCGTTTTTTCACGATATTATACGCAAAAACATACTAGTTGATCAAACCAAAAATAGTTAAGGCTTATAGGACATTAAAATGTTTTTTTGATTTAATAAAAGTTTTAATTTTAAAATATATAGCTTGATATTTTGCCCAGTTACTCTGATAGTAATATAGGCATTCCGAACTTGTTTGATTGACTTGTGCGAAGCCGGAGAATGACATCAGCCCTAATAGATAGAGATCGGGGAAAAAATACGGACGTCGGAAAGTGACGTATCGCTGTCAGCCTAGCCAACCCACTAACTACGCCAATGACTTCATTTTCCAGTTTCCACTAAACTTGTCACACGTACATTTCAGATTTTCGATATACGTACCAAAAAGTCTCAATTATATTTATTAACAATATATTTCAATTTACACAACAAGCTTATAAAGATACATACCTATATATGGTTTACATAATATGTGATTTATGGAGGTAACGTCCAGCGGAAAAAGGTTTCGTGAATATTTTGCCGACAAGGATTTTGATAGGCTTTTCGGTGGTGTGTGTGACCACCGATTTTGAAATAAAACTACATAAAGCCTTGCATATTTTTTTTAAAAAAAGGTTATTAGAAACAAATAAAAATTAGGGGAAATTATTTTTTATGCAAAAAATAGTAACTATGCTATATTTTTGCCTCTAATGTCCTTTAGTATTTTCAAAAAATAAATTAAATAAATAGTTTTACAAAAAAAAGGAAAAATAGTAATTATTGATGAAATATTTATATCAATTTAGTGATATTTTTTTCAAATTCTAAAAATGTCTAAATCATAATTTCCGATGATGTTCTACAAAAAGTAGAATTGGTATTCTAGAGAGTACAAAATTATTTATAATACACATTTCGCGCTTAATCAACCCTTCTAAAAATAAATAGAAATCGAAACCAAAACATTACTTATAACTCTAAAATCATTAGAAATCAGAATCTATACATTATTATAAACCTAAAACCTGTAAAAATTGATTTCATACATTAATAGTGTATTCTACTATAATTTTACATATGGTAGTATACACATTTTACGGATAAAGACAATTGGTTTCGAAAATATAGCAAGAAAATATTTGGAAATATTCAGTTTCCATATATTAAAAATCAAATTTTCAGAAAAAAATTTAAAAAATAAAAAATGTCCATAATTTAGTTACTATAATATTTTTATTTACAACAATTAAATTGTTATTTTCTTACAACACTTTAGTTTTTTGATGTTTTATTTTATTTTAATTACTTTAGTTTCACAGCACTTTAATTATTTATTATATTTTAATATTTAACTATTGTTTTAATTGTAATTTTTAACTTTTAATTAAAATTAAGTGCATTATTGTTATTTTGAAAATATTTAGCATAATGAAACATAAAGTATATGAAATTAGTCTAATGAGATATAGTTAGCAATTTTTTGATCTAAAAAACAATTTTCCTAAAAAGTATGATACACTTTGGGATCCTTTGTAAAAAAAAAAGATACCGCCACGGAGTGCTTTACGCCACTTAAAGATATCAGCAAAGACTGACTCCGGGTCTAAGGTGATTAAAGGTCTTCAGACCTGGAACAACCTAATTAAAAAAAAATAAAAAATTAATAGAATAAAATACCGTTTGAAATCAAAGAGAGATGGAGAGAGAAAATGAATGAAAGACACTTGAGGATTCCTTGAAATCACTTCGTGGTATTTCTTGTAGTTCTCTTCATTTTTCCGAGGGGCTTGACAAAATATGAAACTCTAATTTTTCAGAATATTTTTCATTTTACTTTAATAACTAAAAAATGAATAAAACAATACCACTGACATATAATGTTTCGATCATCCACGATTAATGGGATTTTCACGTTCGTTCACGCGATTTGTGGCCTTCATTCTTATGACGGAAGGTGCGTTAATTGTTCTAAAGATTCAAAATCATTGTTTATTGATCTTGTAATTATTACATGACATTTTTCGTGTTTGTCTCATTAAACGATATTACGAATCATTTTCCGATAAGTTATCCCTTCTTCCATCACTTTAGCATAAGCACATCTAATTCTATAGTTCTAAAGGGGGGGGGGGATTATTTGAATAGATAATGTTGTTGTTTACTTGTTATGAACAAATGTTAGGAAAAGAAAGCAGATATATAGAGTGAGTTAATGCTTGTCGTGTGAGAACTCATTCCTCTTTTTTCCAAGACTTTAATTCTCGCCATCATGTAACATCATTTTGTAAGTTTTTTTTCAAAAAATAAACATCGTTTTGTAATTATATATGAATTAGACGTTAGTAACTGATCGTATATATGTATGTATGAATGTATCTGTAATCACTATAACGATATAGTATCTGAGTTTCCACAAGTATTTACCCATAGACA